GAGGATGGAAGTATTACTGGGATTGAATCATGAGATGTCACATTTCTAGAAAATGATTTTCCCAAAGAAGGGCGAGGTAAAAAATGGAGAGCCTTTTTATGAAATGTTGAACTCAGATAGTTAGCAAGTATCTTCTGACATAGTTGATAATCAAATTGATCAGGATCTTGTTCTTGATCCGAGTGGGAGTAGGAGTTCTCAATCCCAAAATCCTTCTAACGAATATGAATTTCAACTACGAAAGAGTACCAAAAAAATATACCCAAGCATACTTATAAGATTGAAGATTATATTTTCTTGATATTTTCCACATAAATGGATGAGCTATAGTCTGAGGCTTTATCGAGCCCTGGAAAAGACGAGTGGATGAAAGCAATGAATAAAGAATTAGAGTCATGAAAACCAACAAAGTCTGGAATCTAGTTGACCTTCCGACTGGGTATAGATCTATTGAGAGCGAATGGGTTCTCAAAGTTAAACGCAAAGCGGATGGGCCAATAGAAAGATACAAGGCATGATTGGTGGCAAAAGGATTTAATCAAGAAGCTGAAATAGACTACGAGAAAACATTTTTACCAGTTGTGAAGTTTACCTCAATTCTCTTACTTTTGGCTATTGTTGCACGTTTGGATTTGGAATTACACCAAATGGACGTGAAGACAACTTTTCTCAATGGAGAGCTAAACGAAGAAATTTATATGGAACAACCTGTAGGCTTCATCGTTAATGGTCAAGAAAAGAAGGTCTGTAAATTGAAAAGATCTATTTATGGCCTGAAGCAATCTTTAAGGCAATGGTATTTGATATTTCACAAGTAGGTGACTTGTATGATTTCACTATGAACAATGAAAACCATTGCATTTATGTGAAGAAGTCCAATGGGATATTTGTAATTCTTTCTCTTTACGTAGATAATATTTTATTGGCCGAAAATAATTTGGAGTATTTGAATACTATCAAGTCATGGCTTTCAAAGTCATTGACATCAAAGATATGGGTGAGGCAAACTATATCCTTGGAGTTAAGATCCAAAGAGAACGTTCCAAAAAGTTATTGAGTCTATCTTAAAAAACATATATAAAGAAAATTTTGGAGCGTTTTCCTATGAATAGCTTCAAATCCATGGACACTCCTATAGCGAGAGGTGAAACTTTAGGTCTTGAAATGTGTCCCAAGACTAAAAATGAAAAGAAAGACATGTCTCGAGTTCCGTATTCAAGTGTTGTCGGGAGCTTGATGTATACAATTCAATCACTGCCGATGTAATATCCTTCCCCACAATATCCCATCTTTTCTTGAAGAAGCATGAGTTGAAACCATCACATCTTGGGGCTTTTTGATCATCAATACCCCTAGTAGCATTGAATAATTCATCTCTGCTTACAGGGGCAATGAATAGTAGTTGCTAATCCCTATTGAGTCTGTTACTCTCTTCCATTATATTTTGTTGTATTCTGGGCAAGTAGGGAGTAGAGGATTCCTGTAGCTTATGATAGAAGTTATTTATTTCAGTCTCAATCTCTACCTTAGTTTGAGTTATGTAGCCATTTAGAGTATTTAATCTTCTTATCTAGTTTTGTGCTACTATGTTCTTCATACTGGTAAAGAAGTAGGCATTGTTTGAGTCACCTAGATGTAGCCATTGAATTCTTGACTTATGTGTTAGGATGTTCTCTTGGACCAGTACCCATTTTTCAGGCTATCCCCTTAAGTTTTTTTCTTGATCAAACAGTGTTTGCTGGTGTGAAGGATCCTCCATCTGATGTTGTATTTCTTGCAGCAACTTCTTATATTGGTCTACTTTTTCATCTGTCTTGAAAAATTCTTTTGCGTTCAGCCTTTTCAATTGGACTTTGATGCTTTGGAACTTTAGCCAGATTCCTTGTGTCCCTGGTTAACCCCTTTATTCAGTCCATATTTTTTCCACAATTGGTAGGAACTCAGGATGCTGTGCTAGATGATGTCCTTTCGACTTTTTTCATCTCAATCATATTATTATCCATCATGAAACTATTGAAGTCAATCACCTCTGCTTGTTGGACAGGGTTTCCGCCAATCCTATCATCCATGACTCTTATAGAGTTAAAATCTCCCATAATTAGCCAAGGTCCTTATTGGTGTTGTTCAAGATTCCTTAAATTATCCCACGTTTCTCTTTTATCTGCTACTGTGTGTAATTCATATACCACTGTGAGGTGGAGCAGCATATTTGTAGCTTTTACTTTTACAATTCCATGAATCAGTTGGTTGTGAGTGCTGAGTGGCTTGAATTCAACATCTTTGGAGTTCCATAGTACCCATATTCTACCTCTTCCTGCATCTGAGTAGTTTGCATGCCAGTCCCAGCAATATGCTATTTTCATGATCACTTGCTTGGCATATTGAGCTTGTACTCTATGTTCTAGTATAGCTATAATTCCTACTTTATTCATCAAAATAAACTTCATTAACTCAGTCTGCTTATAGACTTTATTCGATCCTCTGACATTCCAAGTGATGAGTTTCATTGGGCTTGGTTTGGATCAGGGGCCTTTACCATCTTACCACCTCGACTACATTGGCCACTATCAAATTCAACTTCTGGTTGTATGCTACTGTCTTGCACACACAACGGACTGAAACTATTTGTAGCTTGGAGGCTATGTTCCTGCATACTTCTATGTTCCCCCTTACTAGCTGGTTTCCTCTTATTTCCTTCCAACCATCATTGTGTTTATGAGGGCCCCTTTGTTGTCCTTCAGTTGTTGCCATTTGCTTAGTTTCCCCTTAATTGACAGCTTTTTTATTGACCTTCATTGATGGTTCCTTTTGTACCTATGTAGTTTGTTACTTTATTGTTTTTGCTGGTGTTTTCTGCCTTAGAGGAGGCTCTTGACAACTGTGTCCTACTTGCAAGCAAGTGTTACTATACAATGGCTTCCAGTCATAGAGTATCTCCTGATCAAAAAATTTACCACTAAGATCCATGGCCTTAATGCTGCTAGGTAGGGGTTACGACATCCATTTCAATTAACATTTGTGCATAGAAAATTCTCTCAGTTGTGGTAGTACAGGCATCTGTATAAACTAGTTTCCCAGTATGCTGCCAATTCTACTTAGTGAGTCAATGCTACAACAGTTTAGGGGGAGATTAGGCATTTTTACCCATAATGGAATCACCCTAATCATCTCTTGATTGAAATTAAAGTCACCCCTCCATAATTTAGTGATTATTGGCCAATTATTCAGCATCAGTGGCCCGAGTAGAGAACTTCATCCCTTTCCTCAATGTTGTTAAATTTCACTAAGAAATATCCATTATTATGGTAGTATACTTTTAGTTGTGTGATGTACCTCCAATTGCTTGCTATGAACCGTTGCACTAGATGGTGAGCTGCCTAATACGTATAAGATCAGAGCATGCTTCTAGTTTACAGTTTCCCTCTCCACTTCCTTTTGCTGCAGTTGAGAAACTTTTTTCCCTTCTACAATGATCGGGGCAATATAGTTCAATTCCCTTGCCCTAGCATCTAACTTGATCTCAGTAAATAGTTTTGCCCGCATTTTTGGCACTTCTGGAGCTTGAACTGGGTCTACTTACTTGGGTGCATCCACCACCAGTGTCATTGGATCCAAGTTCTGTCGTTCCCCCTTTGTGCCATCCACTTCCGTTCCTTTCTGCTTATTATCAAAACTGCTGGATCCAAAATTGATGTCGGCTTGTGGAGTTTCTACTGTGTTATTTGGAGCTCTCTCTGGCATTACCACAACTGCCTGCATCGGACCTTAAGTCTTAGGGCTAGGGGAGGTTTCGCGATTGGAATTGGGGATTTCATCGCCTGGATCCCCACATTTCCGACACCTAGTGCCTCTTTCAGGATTATCGCCGCATTCTACCACCGGCTTGTTCACTTAGGATGGTCGCCCTCTAGACATTTTCGGCAACCAGCGCACGTTAGTTCACCCTAGCATGCAACAACAACAAAAAAAAAAAAAAATTGGGTCTGGGGAGAGTAGTGTGTACGCAAACCTTATACCTACCTTCAATAAGGCAAATAGGTTATTTTCGGAATACCCTCAACTTAGGAGTTCACCCTAGCATGCGCAGAGAGAAAATTCTAGATAGCACGTTAGTACACGACTGGATGCTATTATTATTATTATTATTATCTATTAATTATTATCATCATCTTTTGTGCAACTTCACTCAATCATTATATATCGTCACATTTATTTGATGTCATTTTAATGGATTTGGTGAAGTGGATTTGCTTAAAGTTATGGGGTTTGTTCTTGATTTGAATCCTTAAATTACATGATGATTTTAGATATTGAAGCTGTTTGAAGCTTAAAAATCCATCATATAACATTGGTTAAGAAATTGAACGGATTAGTTCGTTGAAAATAATAAAAGATTAGAGGAAATTTGAACTAAATAGCGACAGACCCATGAGCTGAATTGGGTCAAATGCGACCCCTGAATCTGGTTGTTGTTGTTGATTGAAAAGAGGGTTTTGGTGCCCGAACCAAAGCCCAATTGCAGACTGTAGAGCAGCAGAGGTCATTGATTATTAAATACAACTAACTATTACATTTATCTTTTCTTTGTCTTGATTATTTTCTAGACACGAAATTTACTGTTACACTTTAATCATGTAAAATGCTGCGCAGACAAGTCTAAACCAAACAAATTCAATGCAGAAACCAACTAATTAAGCTGCCTTAGGAAGCCTAACAATTGAGTCTAGACAATCAATACAACCTAGAGGGCCACATTTGTTAATATCAGAGCAATTATTTGAAAGTCGCTTCAAATATGAAACTTCGAGATGCATGCAAGGGCGAAGTATTACGTATGCGTTAAGAAATTTTGCTCGTATCTTGTATATATGTTAAGAAATTCATTAAATATATATAAAAAATAAACCGTGAACCCAATTGTTATTGTATATAAATTTGAGATCGTTCTAAGAACCCATAAACTTTAAATCCTGCATCTGTTTCTCGACGCATGAGGTGTTTCATTGTTGCTTAAAGCTGCCAATCTTTCGGGCACAATTAACATTATCATTTAATATCTTCTTCATCCCATACTTGTACACGAAACCGTTGTCAACAAGCTTTTTCGATCCCCATTTGATTTCTCTCTTGGGGTCATTCAAGTACCTGGAATGAGAAGTTTTATGAAGGAAATTAAGAGGAAAAAGCATAATAAGAAAAAAATTCCATTCAAGACAGTATAATATTTTATACTATTCAAATTTTAATTTCTTTTACTAAATCTTCTTAAATATTTTAAATGCAAAAAGTTCATCGTATTTAAAATTTGTATTAGTTTCTAAATATTGAAAATAAAATTTCAATGAAATTAATAGTACTGTCGGTTTTTCACCTCTAAAAGTTTTTGTCATGTATGTAATTAGGACACTATGTTTGAGACAAAGGAAGTAATGCATTAATTATATACCTTGACAGTATATCTTATTTTAATTTATCATTGTAGTTTAACCTCATGTATAAGATTAGTCAGGGGCGGAGGTAGGCTCAAACATATGGGATCGAAAATATCTAGTAGTTTTGACCCAAATACAGTATAGATATAAAGAAATTCATTAAATTTGTATAAAAATTAAACTCAGAACTCAATCACTAACATCTTAGGTTACTATCTTAGAACCCTAAACCAATTAAGTTCAAATCTTGAAACTGCCTCTGAGGTTAGGTACGATTTTTATCTAAGTCACGACTAATTAAACCATACATATTTACATTGTAGTTACTTCGCTATGGACCTAAGAATGCAAACAGCCAAACACTTTTTACACTATGGATGTATGAAACTTAAAATCAATGGATACGATCTTACTCTTGGTTGACATTAAACTCTGGATAATTCTGTTGGTAGTAACAGCCAATCTCTGCAGAAGAAACAAAGAGGCTAGCGCACAAGAAACGGCCATTGACTGCAGCTTTCATTGAGAACAAGTGAGCTTCACATACATCTTCAATATGCACAATTGGCACTTTTCCAGTAAGCTCTTCTATAAACTTGAGTGTATTGTAGTGACTTTTCTCTTGAGTACTCAACAGTGACAAATATATGGCAGTACTTGTTGGGATATAAGGTAAGTAAGTTTCTCCGCCCACAAGACCGCAACATAATGTCACCACCTCCAAACCCTCCTTCCCAAAGTTCAACATCTCTTTCTCAGCTAGCATCTTTGATTCTACATAATTCTATTATTATAAAGAGTTCATAAGTTATATGTACTGATATTATGAAGAATATTTACATAATCGTATAACTTATAAGATAATTACGGTACAATTTTCATAATAACTACTTTTTAAAAAAAATTAAGCCATCGACTCAGGCTTTCATCTTCTATGATGATGGGAGGTTCGACATTGACCCCTGCCTTATTTATTAAATAGCAAAAAGTAGAGTACAAAGGAGGAGGGACATAAAACCAAAACCTCCCAAGAGTAATAATACATAAAGAGAAATAAGATAACAGACGATCCAAAAGAGTTTCTTATTGGTCTGTCATATGTGCTAACTCCCAAAAGAAACTATTACAGAAAATCTAATACAACACATAATAAAGGGATAACAAGAATATCAAAGCTTGAGGCCGTGTAATTGGTTTCTGGAGAAAATGATGCCCGAGGCTATGTGATTACATTCCGTAGAAAATGATTCTTGAAAATTTTGTGCCTCAAGTTTGGAACCTGCCTCATATCCTTGTCTTGGAAGATTCACATAGTTGAATAACATACTCTCTTGAATTTCATGACTCCATTTTGCCAATACGTCTGCGACATTATTAGCTTCTCTATAACACTGTCTAATAACAATGTTATGTTGGTGTATTAGGTGTTGAGCTTCCATGATAATAACCTCAATGTGCCAGGGAGGAGTGATGGTATTATTCAATATATCCACAACTAATTTAGAGTCACATTCCAAGATAACCCTATCGTATCCATTAGAGTGGCACCATTGTAAGCGAATCAATGCAGACTAAGCCTCTGCCAAATTGCTAGTCCCGCTCCCCAACTTTTGAGAAAAAACCTTGATCATATCACCTCTATGATCTCTTAAAATACTACCAGCACCAATGAGGTCATTATCCTGTTTACTTCCATCTGCATTAAGCTTAGTCCAACCAAATAAATATTTTTCCCATGTTACCGGAAAACAAATAATTTTGGCAGTTAACGACAATAACCTGTCACATATTCCATGCCATTGAACAACCCCTTCAACATGAATATTGTGCTTGTAAATCACCCACCTCTGATGAGAAAGAACCTGAAAATGAGATCTAGAAGATGATATCTTAATGCCACCATATCTCGATGCACATCTAACTTTCCAAAGTTCCCAACAAATAATAATAGGAGTCATCTTGTTGATGACATGCACTACTTTATTTTTGGCCTTGAGACTCCACCAGCTTTGAAGGATATTGAGAATAGGCTTATCTTCCCATCTAAACCCGAAAGGAGCTCCAAATTGCCTCCAAATTATCTTAGCCCTCTCACCATTGACAAAGGTGTGGTGCATGGTCTCGTGATGTCCTACAACATTCGCATCTAGATGCAAGTTGCTGTCCAAACCGAATAATAATATCATCAAAAGATAGTTTCCTTTTTAGCACTCTCCACATTAAAAATGACATGTTATATGGTAGAAATTTGTGCCATAATTCCTTGAGTACTGGTGTAAATTCTCTTGATTGCCTTACAATCTGCCACGCTGATGAGGAAGAGAAGAACCAGTTGAAGAGGGAGTCCACACAGCTTTATCAGGAAAATTAGGATCCCCAAGCTTAAAACACTGAATAATCTCTATCAAATATTCAGCAAGTTGTTGAAGTTCCTCAAATTGTAGAGAGGTTCCTATTCTAACATGTTTGATCTTCCTCATGTCATGAGGTTCAAGTTGGACAGTATTAGCAAGGGCACCAATGCCCAACCAGTTATCCCACCAAAGAATAATATTTCCTTCATTGCATCTCCAGAAAATATGTTTCTCTCTTTGATCCCTTATGTCCAATAAATTTTTCCAATAGTGAGAGTCTTTATTATTCTTTTTCTTCTTTATAGGATGTATTCTACTGCAATATTTGACTATCAAAAATTCTGCCATAGAGATTTAGTACGTAGTTCTGAATCTCCACCACCTCTTCATAGAGAAAGAATTGCTTATATCTATTAGACTTCTGAATCTCATGCCCCCTTCCTCCTTTGGGTAACACATATTGCTCCATGAGCTCCAATGATATCTTTGTTTTCCATATGAAGTTCTCCAATAGAATCTAGCCATGTATCTTTCAATTTACTTGAAAATAGTTTTTGGAGGGGCCAGAGCAGCAAGAAGATGTAAAGATTGAAACTGAAGTACATGTTTAATCAGGACAGCTCTCCCTCCTATAGATAATAATTTGCCTTGCCATCCATTAGTCTTCCTAACATTCTTGGCTACTGATTCATTAAAATATATTATTTTTTCCTTCCTACATAGAGAGGACAACTAATATAGGTAATAGGAAACTGAGTATTCCTAAAGCTAGTGATGTTCTTGATTTTTGCAATATATTCCGAGCCAGCATTGGAAGCAACCAAGAAATAACTCTTATCATAATTAATAGATTGACCAGAATATCTTTCATAATTACTAAGTTATTGCATAACCAAGTTTTAAAAAGCCCTGGATCCAGAAGTAAAGATCATTACATCATTAGCATAAGCTAGATGGGTAACTTGTGGTCCATTTCTATGCATTGAGAAGCCCCTGAAAAGATCATCAGAATTCAGCTGGTTAAGTAGCTTGGAAAGTACTTCTGCTCCAATAATAAAAAGAGCTGGTGAAATAGGGTCTCCTTGCTTGAGTCCCTGAGTTGAGTGAAAGAAACCCTTTCTGTTTCCATTAATCAAAATTGAATATGTAACGACCCTGTCGGTCATTTTGAGTATTGTAGTCTCGTTCTCCCATTTATTGCTTATTCTATGCTCATTTATTGATATGTGATTTTCTGGGGTGATTGGTTCTGTTCCGGTTGGTATTCGGAAAAGCTTGCCATCTTCCGATGGAACTAGAGCACAAGGCCATGTGGGCTCTAAAGAAGTTGAATCTTGATTGGGATGTAGCCGCTAACTTGAAGGTTGCACATTTAAATGAATTAGATGAGTTCCGGTATCATGCTTATGCAAGTTCGTCCTTGTACAAAGAAAAGATGAAATATCTTCATGACAAATACATTTGGAACAAAGAGTTCAAGGTGGGTGATCTTGTATTGTTATTTAACTCAAGGTTGCGAATATTTCCCGGGAAGCTAAAGTCTAAATGGAGTGGTCCTTTTGAAATTATGGGTATGACACCTTTTGTTGCATTAGACTTGAAGAAAAAATAATGAAATATTCCGAGTCAATGGTCACCGGGTGAAGTACTATTTGGGAAAGGTTAGAGATAGCCACGTCGTGGTGGTCATTCATTTCAATTGAGGGTATTTTGCATTGTGCCGCGACGTTAGGCGCTTCTTAGGAGGCAACCCATGTTTCTTTTCCTTTTTCTTTTTGTAATTAGGTGTTATTTTTGTTCTAACTTGATTTGAAGTGTGCTACACGGCTGAGTATGACTTACAGAAACTGTGGACCAAAACTTTGACTAAGTGTTCTAAGAACTGCAGACCGCAGTTGATTTGTGCGGACCGCACAATTATGGTTGTTGTAGCAAAAGTGCAATGCAGCCGTACAATTATCTTGCGAACCGCATAAATGAAAGGTTGAAAATACCAATTCTTTGAAGTTTAGCCTGTCAGAAGAAAGGGTGATGTGCGACCACACATGAAAATCTGCGGCCGCATACAAAATTGTGCGGACCGCAGATGAGATGCTGAGATGGATTCACCAGGTAATAGAGTGTGGTCCGCACATGAAAATGTGCGGCCGCACTCACTCTTCTTTCCCTTAGCCAACCAACTGGTATAAATAGAGGAATAGGACCATTTGTACATTTTTCACTCTCTGAACAAAAACAAAAGTGCCCTTTTGAAATTTCTTGGTGATTTCATCTGTCCACACACACAACATCTTTGATAGGTAACTCATTACACTCATTCATCTGGTATGCTTCAATTTTTTGTTAATTTTTTTCTTTTAATTTGTAAAGTTTTATTTATTTTTAGGCCATTTGTCATTAGAATTCAATTGTGTATACATGCTCTATGGGGACTGGGTTAACATATTTTCAGGCTTCTATGATGTTGCCATGTCAAATTGTGCACGAAGATGAAAAACCTAGATAGAAAAAATTGAATTGTTTGTAATTTTTGAATTCTGCGGCCGCACCTGAATTTGTGTGGTCCGCAGATTTTGATTTTAGGGCAACATAGTAAAAGAAGGGATCTACGGCCGCAAGATAAAATGTGCGGACCGCAGATTTTCCATCACGGCCGCAGAACAACCCTTACTATCATCAGAGAGTACCTACCTTGAGACTCCAATGTGCGGCCGCAAGTTTAATTGTGCGGACCGCAGAAATCATGTTGCGGCCGCACATGAGCCAATTCTCTGTCATCAGAGAGTTGGCATTTGTTGGGACTCAGAGGTGTGGCCACAAGTGAAATTGTGCGGGCCGCACTTCACTTTTGCAACCGCGAAACAAAATTGTGCGGTCTGCAAGTCCTCATCTGCGACCGCAAGACAAATTATACGGACCGCATTTCTTGTTCCCTGCAAGCACGCTTTGATTGAACACTCTCATTTTGTACTCTGGTTATCCTTTGTTTGTACATATGTTGTGTATGTCTGAACATTGAATTGAAACTAACAATCGCCTTTGTTTGGTACAGATAATGGTTCGATCTAGAGGACGCGACGACACTTCAAAAGGGAGAGGTGAACCTTCTCTAGGCCGATGCAAGAGTGCCTTATCCCTTGGCCAACCAAAGACAATAAGGAAGAAAGCAACAGCCAGCAAAGGGAGAGGTGCATATCTCTCCGAGACGAGCTCATATGTACCATCTAGGGAAGTATCACAGGGAAACTCAACCTCTGTTTAGGAGCAGCCAGCCATACAGTCGAGGGCACCAGGGAGATACCAGCTCAGGGATGAGCCATCCTTATCTCATAGCACTTTCGAGGGATCGGAGAGTGCTAGTCAGGCTTCTGATCCATCAGCTACACTAGTCCCTGAGGCACATGATGCTCCAGTTCATGATATCCCCGATGATGGCAGAGGGGGAGATGCTATAGCTGCCGATCTTGAAAGATCGAAGAAGAAAGAGGTTTGGGAGGACCGCTTTGTTAGCCTGGCGACCTTCACCAGCTTCTGTGTGTGATGGCCACTGAGGTCGCTAACTCTTGAGCTACAATTTCTGTTGACAGATTTGGAGAGGTACAACCCAGCAGTTTTGAGACAGTTCAAGGCATGCAAGGGGTGGATGTGGTTCACTCAGAGTGTAGTGGATGCCAAAGAGTACCTTGTCCGTGAATTCTACGCCAATGTGGCTCATATCAAAAAGGGGACAAAGGAGACCAAAGTACATAACCTAAAAGTGAGGTTTGATCAGCATACGCTCAATGCGTACTTGGGATTTGAAGATGTTGAGCTGAAGGAGTATTTGGAGAAGTGTGCACTGGGGGACGAGGTCCGACCTTGGTTAGCGGAGATTCTGGCACCACCAAGGCCACCACCACCATGGATTGCTGATGGGGTTCCCAACCACCGTAGCATGTTAAGCTTTGAGGCAAAGGGGTGGCAGACATTTGTATGCAGCTAGTTGGATCCATGCTAGAATGAGACTCACCTTCCGATCCCTCGGGCAGTTCTGGTTGCTTCTATTATGGTCGGGTACCCAATCAATGTGGGTGCCGTGATGTCAGCCAACATCTCAGTGATCGCTCGGCAAGATGACTCGTACTACCTCTATCCCAACACCATTACAGAATATCTCACTGATGCAAAGGTAGAGCCGAGGGATTATGATACAAAGGTAAAGCCAAAGAAGCCTTTTACTTGGTACTCACTAATGGATGCGAGCAACCCGAAGAAGAAGTTCAGCCTCCTACCACCACAGGCCAGTCTGATGAGCCAGCAGTGGTAGCTCCTGAAATAGTTGTTGTTCCATCCACTTCGGCTGAGCCTTCTTCTAGTGTCATAGCTATGCCTCCACCATCATCCACAACCCTTACTATAGCTCCTTCCACAGCTCCCACCTCGGCTTTGAAGCCAGTTCCCGTGCCTACTCACCCACTATCTGCACTACGAGTCTCCCAGACATTGGTGAGTCTCAACAACTTGATGCAGACATCCACTGTAAAGCTGACTTACTTGTCTAGTACTGTTGCAGCGCAGTCCACCTCATAGGCATCACAGGTTCCTTCTGACATTGAGGAGACATTGAAGAAAATTTTGGAGAATCGGAATACTATCATGGACACCTTGGTACAACATGGATCGGTGATTGAAGAGCTGGGAAAAGAAGTAAAGAAGATGAGGAAGTCCCAAGCCAGCAAGAAGTCAGTGGACAAGCTCCGGAGAGTGGTGACCAGAATTGCTACAGCCGGAGATCTCTCCTTTGATATGTTGCTTGACCCATACCATTCTGCCCTAAATCTTTCAGCACCATCTGCATCGATGGTACCAGCTGGCCAGTCTGAAGAGTCAGACCTGGCTGCCGACACTGCTGAGGTAGTGCATCAGATGTTCGCCAACCCAGCCACACCTAGAGTTGGGGATGATGAGATTCAGTTATTGATCCTGAGGGCGATGACATTGCTTGGAGACAGAGATGTCCAAGGAGCCATAGGAAATTTTCATCACTCTTCCCTCTTTTACTCTTATTTTGCTAAGCATTGGGGACGATGCTTACTTTTATTCGGTGGGGGAGGGGGAGTTTATTTCACACATTTGGTACTTTGATACATTTGGTCTGTAATAATTTGATGATATTCTCTCTTTTCTTATTTGTATGTCTATATCTTCTCTCTCTCTTACTATGTATATTCATTCTATCTTTAGTAGTTTTGCTCATTAGTTTTTTTTATCTTTGTTTTTGCTTATTAGCTTCGTTTTATGTTTTAGTAGCGTATTAGCTCTTGTTTTGTTTAGTAGCTTCTTTTTATGTTTTAGTATATAATAAGCCTTTGGTTTTCTTAATGCCATGATTCTTTTCAAAGGTAGTTGTTGTGTGAACCAGGTGACGCGTCCCAACGATGGATGGCGTGATAACTTTCTTAAGGGAATGAGTCTGTTTTTGTGTTTAGGTAATAATAGTAGTAGTAATAAATAAAAAGACTTAATTAAGTCATGCTGGAAGAGTCAGTAATGCTTCAATTGGCACCAACACACTTAACTATGTGCTTATAGTTAGAGACAAGGTTTTTGAAAGAAATAGCTCTAGTAGTGACTTTGTGACTCTTGTGTTGACTTTGGAAATCATTGAGTGTTTTAGTTGGACCATAGTAATCTTTAAACTTGAATGTGGTCATTGTGAGCCCTATATTCTGTCCTCTTTTACAATCTGGTTGCGTGAGGGGTGAGATGAATTGTTGCTAGTCCAAGTATCCATGCGAAGGGTCTAGAACTTGCCCCGAATGTGTGTCAAGGCAAAATCTTAAGTTTTGCTTGGTTTGGGAAGTGATTGTATGCTCTCCTTTGACCGTTTGAGTTTTCTATTGCCATCCAATGTCGTTATCCCTAGTCAACCCCTTTGAGTCTCTAGCCTTTCTTATTTGGTAACCATGTTACAAGCCTTTACCCGTTTTACTGTGACCCTCTCTTGGCACCCGAGCTTTCCTTAACACTCTTGTGAAATAAATGGCTTAAAACGTAAGCTTAGGGGAGAGATGATGAACTTGAAAAAGGTATCAAAGCACAAAAAGAAAAAATAAATGATCTATATGAGAAGAGAAGGCAAGAAAAGAAAAGAACAAAAAAGAAAATTGCAAAAAAGTGAATAAGTGGAAGGGTTGAATGGATTCAAAAAATAAGAGGGAGGTAATGATCCCAAACATGGAAAAATCAAAAAGAGAGAAAATAATAAAATGATCAAGAAAGAGTGATGCTAAGTCTCTCTAGTCCCCAATAAAAAGAAAGTGCCTCTAAGAATTGGCAAAGTGTGAGTCAAAAAATAAAAGATGGAGTGCTTAAGGAAAGGTGTAACCACTTACCCATACGGTCTCCTACCCTAACCCAAAAGCCTTCATTACAAACCGAGTGAGCTTACATTAGTGGCGATCTACAAGAGGGGTAAGCCTATAGTACTTGACGTCGTACTTGTGACATTCTCTTGAGACAGATGAGTAAACCTTTCATAAATTTTTAGATTGAGTGCTAAATTTCTTAAGTGAGCTTGGCAAATGGAAAGTAGAGGAGGAAGAGTTTAGAGTCCACCATGGCCTACATGATAGAGCAAGAGTCCTTGATGAGTAAAGTCAATTCTTGTAGCTCAAATGTCACAGTAGAACTATATGTGCATGAATGCTAAACTTGCCGCCTTGTTGATAATGCATGAGTAGTATAGGTAATTGTTAGTCCCAATTGATGTGTGAATGGCTCACCTTTGACTCGCTGAAATGACCCTTAACTTTTGGAGGTGAAAACTAATTTATTTGCTTGAGGACAAGCAAAGACTTAAGTTTAAGGGAGTTGATAAGTGGGGATTTTGACTGCTTATTAGCACCTTTTAGATTATGTTTTAGTATGAAAGTATTGAATTATATTCCCGAAACTAATAAAATTGTGCAAATTGCAGGAACGTTGGAAGTTTGGTCTCTTAAGATAAAATCTGACTCAAAAAGGAGTGTTCTGAAGAACAAGGCAATAAAGGGCGCAGAAACAAAGATGTACGGTCCGCAGAAGGAATTTTGTAGCCGTAGAAGAAATTGCGGACCGCAGAATTCCATTTGCGGCCGCAACCCAAGCAGCAGAACCCAACAGGCTTGACAGCAATATGTGGACCGCACATGAATTGTGCGGCCGCAAAACTGGGCTTTCACTGACAAAGATTCAAAGTTCAAAGAATATGCAAGAAGACCAAGTACTGAAGCCTTTGTGAAGTGCAGACCGCACAAGAAATGTACGGCCGCAGAATCCTCCTTCCTGCCAACTGAAGAAATCTGCAGACCGCACATAGAATTGTGCGGCCGTAGAACCTCCCGAGGGGTATTTTTGTTCGCAATTTTTGGCCTTGTATAAACAGACGAGTTTCACAAAATTAGGTCAAGTTTGAACATTAAAAGCTGCTGTAGCCGTTTCTTTTTACTACTTTAAGAAGTTTTACATTATTTTGGTATTTGCTCTGAGGGTATGAATCCCTGAACTACATGTTATGTGGTTGGTGTTGAGGTAACGCACATGCTAGGTGACGGACGTGTGGGCGTGCACCGCAGTAATTGTGACTTGGTTGTTTCCATGGAACTGTGTAGTTATCTGATCTCGTTACTATTCATGTACTCTACATGTGTTAGAGAAATTGAGCTGTGATTCATGTTAAAAATCATGTTTAGGCTATATGTTAGTACTGTTGAGACCCACAGAGGTTGTTTTTGTTGTTGTGTTATTTGCTTAAATTGCAGTTATGTACTCAGTCGCATCCATCATTTGCATACCATATCTCAGTCTTTGTTATCATTTATTGTATATCATGTTATCATTGTTTGGGCTGATTGGCATGAGTCTTGTGAGCCCGAGAGACTGGAGAGATTGATGATTGAGTGAGGTCGAAGGCCTGATTATGAGCGATATTGATGGGATCGGGCTACTTTCCTCAGCAAGTTTTATTGATTCAAGATGGGATCAGGTTGCACGCTGCAGCAGGTATTATTGATTCATGATGGGATCGTTGCGCGTCGCAACAGGTTTTATTAGCGCTTGGGCAGGATCCGCCTCTCCGGAGTCTGATATACCAGCGGTGAGCGCAAGTACCGTATAGTGCTGGGTTACTAAGTGTGATGAGTGAGAGTTGAGATAGTGAGATTGAGTACTCTAAGAGTGTGAGTACGTGAGGTTATCATTCTGATGAATTACATGTGGCACATTTGACATGTAGATATAGAGATGTAACATTCCTCATATTAGTCATACTTGGCATATTTTTATCCGTGTTAAGTTTAAACTGTTAAACTTGAAAGCATGTCTACATTTCTGTACTGTGTACAAACTAATTATGAGTATTCTCCGAGTTATTACTGTCATTTTTCCTATCATGTCTGTACTGTTATAATATTGATTTGGACTATACCTATCTGAGCTCGTCATTGCTTTCAGTGCAAGGTTAGTCTAGTTACTTATTGAGTACATTGGGTCGGTTGTACTCATACTACACTCTGCACTTCGTGTGCAGATCCAGGTACTTCTGGCCCCGGCGGTTGCTAGATTTGGAGCTTAATTTGTTTGGAGACGATTGAGGTAGCTGCCTTAGCGTTCGCAGACCTCGACTCTTCTTCTTTTCAGTTTATTAGCATTGTTCTATCTTTCTAGACGGTTGTTTTAGTAGTTAGACTGTGTTGACATTTTAGTAGCTCATGTATTCAGTGACACCCGGATTTAAGAATGTTGTATTCGAGTCGCAGTTATTCATATCGACTATTTATGAGAGTTATTATTGTTGAACTTGTTTCATCTTATTTTCAGTATAAAAATGCGTAGTTAATTGTGATTGTCGGCTGCCTAGTTCTGTGATAGGCGCCATCACGACATGTTGAGTTTTGGGTCGTGACAGAATACCAGTTGTTGGAAATGAATCTCCAAACCATATCAATCCATCTCTTAGAGAACTAAAATTTCCTTAAAACAGCTAACATGAAATCCCAGTTCACCTTATCATAAGCCTTGGTCATGTCAAGCTTAATAACCACATAATCCCCTCATAATAACTACTAATTGGGTAATAATTAACCTGATATTTTTAAAATGTATTGATGTTACAAATATTATAAAATAGTTTGACTTTTATGCATCGAAATACACAATCATATCATTTTTACTGTATTTACACGTAATTTTATTGAATAAGCGTTATAATTACTAAACTTGTTAAAAATGATACTCCCTACATCCCAAATTAACATTCAATTTAGTTCAAAATTTATCTCAAAATAATTGACACTTTAGGAGTTCAAGACTAAATTATAATTATTTTCATTTATGCCCTTAATATTAAAGAAGTTGTAGTTTTTTAATTTTTAATACTGCTCAATTCTCAAAAAATATTTAATAAAGGTAACTTAGTAAACTATAAATTGTATTTAGTGTTTTCTTAATGAGGATGAAAAGAGCAAAAACGACAGTTAGGACGAAAGGAATACTAACTTGCTATCAACGGTTAAACTGCATAAGAACTTTACCGCAGCATATAGGAAGGTAAATAAATACATTAGGCTCACCCTAAGCCCCTGATCGGCATAAGGATTTGAGAAATTGAAAGGTGTCCAACACATTTCATCCATCAAATCGTTGAAACCGGACCCATCATCCTTCAATGGAGAAGCAGCAACCACAGAGGCAGTATAGATAAGCTTTTTTACTGTCCCAGATTTAAGGCAAGCCATTCCAATTCTCTTCACTGCAGCAACTGAAGCCTCAGTTTTATTTTTGTACTGTTTCATATGACACCTAAAACAAAAATCAAAATTAAGAAGAAAAAAATCTATAATATTGGACTTTTCCTTCTTTTGGAAAATTCTATAATTTAATAAGTTATAACATGTTTTTTGAGTTACCATACCAAGTTTAATATCAAGAGTAACATGTCATTATAGATCAAATTAACTTTTATATATATAGAGAGTAACGGTGCGTAAAACTTAAACTCAATCAAATTTGGGGATGGAATGGATGAGCGGCATAGGTGGAAAGGGGCATGTACGGATCTACATTATAGGTTATGGGTGTCTGAGCACCCATTACTTTTGGAACCAAATATACTACTTTTTCCGTTTCAAATAAGATTAGTTAGTTTCACTCAGCACGGAGTTTTAAAAAAAAATTGAAATTTGTGGTCTTAAAAACATAAGGGGTAAAAGTTTTGCGGGATCATGATATTTGTGTGGTTATAAAACTTCTTATTAAGGATAAAATAAAGAGTTTAAAAGATCCGAGTGCAGCGAAAAATTCGAGGAGTAAAAGAAATTAAAAACATACCTAAGTTCCTGAGGATAGCGTGAACGGTATAACCTCTATCCAAAAGTTTCTTTACAAGAGAAGAACCTGCACCTCCTGTAACACAGACCATACAGTTGCTTTTCTTCTCCATTTTTGCTTTATCTCTTCCTCAGACATTTTTTTCTATTTATATGGGAAATCTAAATGATTAAATAGAGCAGCTTGATAATAATAATAATAATTATTATTATTATTATTTTTAGCCTTGTGCTTTTTGTCATATTGTATGATCTAGATTAATCCAATACGCAGTGTTATTACAGGAAACGACAAAATTCCACATGATTAATTATGCCATAGGTTTTACTTTACTTGCATTGGCGGTTTTAATTAATAATAAATTTACAGTGCAACTTAAAATCTTATCGAAGGACATCTGGATGTTAGTAATTAAATAGTTATTTATGTTAATCAATAATTGAGGATAAAAATTATAAATCTTGATAGTGTAAACAAAACACCGAAGTGTCCCTATAAAAAAGTTAATGCTCGCTGAGTTGGTCTGTTATATATGAACCGTTAAAATTAAGGCTAATGAAATAAAACAATAAAGAAAAGAAGAATATTGCAAAGGAAAGAAAGAGAGAATTCTATTGATTTTGAGATTCGTTATTGTGTTTGGTTTTGTGATATGCCGTAGTTTGTTGTAGTTGTTTGCGCAATGCCTATTGTTTGGCGATCGGGTTGCACGTCGCAACGGATATTATTATTATTATGTGGGATCGGATTGCACGCCACAACGGATGTTGTTATTATTGTGTGGAATTGGTGTAACACCCCGGAAAAAAAAATCAAATAATTTAAGTTTTTAAAGTGCGCCAACGGTATTTGAGAATAACGTATTTGAGTATTAAAGGAGACCTATGGGATAGAGCCACATTATGTTGAATTGATAATGTATGTTTAAGGTGTGTTGGAACATACTAAGGAGTTTTGGGAATGGCAAGAACTTGTGTGAAACAAGTTGGACACATTAAGTGGAAAGGATGTTTCAATTGGCACAAGACCCAACTTCAAATGAATAGAACTCCATCAATATAATGACTTAGGTGGTTATCTACCTATCAAATTAAATCCCTTTGAATCTAGTTTCCAACGCATCAAACCGTTCGTCATTTGGATATATATACAGAAAGTTATGGCCATTTTACTGTACATGTGTCATATGCATGGCCAAATCCGCGGCCGCGCATATTTGAGAGTTTCTGCCTCAAATCCGCGGCCAAATCCGCGGCCGCGCACATAGAAACCCATTAAATACCCCCAAAACCGGGTAGAGAGAGAAAGAAGTCATTTCTTTGAGTTAGGGCTTGTATATCAAGGGGAATCCGCCCAACACCTCCCTACCATGAACCAAGGTAATGTATTTGGAGTAATTTTGAGTTGATTACTACTCCTAAACACTTGTATTAACAAGGATTAATCTTGAAGATCTATAGATTTTTATTTAAATCCCCAAATTGGTCAAGAACACTACAAGTTGGGATTTTTATGAGTCTCACTACAAGAGGTATGTCTACCATTTCTAACTAATATATGGGGATTATTTATGTATGGAATATGTGTTATAACTTAGGGTATGGTGATTGAAAGTCATAAGTTCCCAATTTAAATACATAACCATTGTAGAGATGGAAAGATGATTATTTGATAAAATTTTATTGGTTGGGTGTGGATGGATGGTCATGTATGTGATGTTGGAAGTTAAGAATTGTTTAAGAATGATGGTGGGATAAATTATTGGTAAATGGTAGTAGTTGGATGAACTAATTCTATGGTTAAAAGATGTAGAGATTCATGCCTACTAGGTATTTGATAAAATACCTAAATGGCCTAAATTATGGAATTTATTACTAATATTGGTCCCATTGAATTATGTTAATGTAGATTGAAGTTGTAAGAGTAGTTGGTGGTTTTAATATCACTAAAGAGCTCCATCAAGGTATGTATGGCTAAACCCACTTATCCTTAGAATCGAATTCAACGGTGTTCATGTAATTGAAGTAAGACCTTGATCATTATTGAATTGGCTATTCCTAATTTGGTTGTGTCGAAGGATATATGTTCAATATTTATTCTAAATGTTTTTATCATGTCATCTTGCTATTTGAGGATATGTTCAAAATGTGAAATATGTGTTAGAAATGTTATGACTTCATATCAAGATCGAAATAAAGGTTGTTATACCAAATTGTATGAAAAGCCCCTATGTGCCTAAGATTCCCAAATTGTTGTGTTATGTGAACTTACTGTCTTGAATGGGAGGCCTTATTATTGTTGATAACGATTATGATAATGATATTTGAATGTGAAAAAGGGGACTGAAATTATGAAATACGGCCAAGTGCCAAGAATGATTTTGTAATCGTGATTACTAGTGCCAATGAACCGAAAGAATATGAAAGAACTATGATGTGAGATAATTAAAATTGTGGTTATGGTTGATGTCTCAAGTGAGATGGCCTAGCCGATCGGGCCGTGATCGGACGCCATGCCGCATATATGGCGGTAACTGTACTAGAAATAATAATTGAAATTGGGGATATGGGTGATGTCTCAAATGAGATGACCTAGCCGATCAGGTCGAGATCGGACTCCGTGTAAGAATACGGTGGTATTATGGATTGTGGCATATGGCACTAAAGATTACCCAACCTAATAAGATGGAAATTAACTTGAGAACTCATGTGATCCTCACTTGATGTTTTAGTATTATTTTGAAGCTCTTATTGAACTCATGACTGTTTTTCCCTTGCATTATTGTCCATTATATTAAAATGGTGTTTTAGCTTTACATACTAGTACTATTCGAAGGTACTAACGTCCCTTTTTTTCCGGGGGCGCTGCATCTTTAAATGGATGCAGGTGGTTACATAGCAGACAGTGTTGATCGCAGTTAGTGGTACATCATGATCTTCTCAGCAGACTCGGTGAGCCCCATTTCATTCCGGGGTCATGTATTGTACCTTTTGTTTATATTGTGGTCACTTTTGAGGTATAGCCAGGGCCTTATTGCCGGCACCATATTTACTCTCTTTTGTATCTTTAGAGGTTCCGTAGACACTATGTGGGTTGTATATGGATGTTGGGAATGTTAAACCAGTTATGTTGTGTTTGATCACTTGTTCCATTCGAACTATAAGAAATATGTATTTTGAAACTTAAAGGCGCAATGGCTAATCAAATTATTTATTATCGTATATATGAACTTCTTGCTGTATAATTTATGAAATCATGTCTTTTCTTGGTTATGGGTGAATTGGGTAGAAAGAATCTAACAGGCTTGCTCGGTCGGGTTTACTCGGCTGAGCGCCGGTCGTGCTCCTCGGTTTTGGGGCGTGACAATTGGGTTGCACGCTACAACGGATATTGTTATTATTGTGTGGGATCAGGTTGCATGACGAAACGGATTGATATGTTGTAATTGTTGTAACAGAAAAGTTATCCTAAATTTTTATTCTCATGGTGTGTTCTATGTGGAATGGTTTATCGGTTGCACGGTTATTGTTTTTCCTTAAACCATTTCACTAGTATTTGATCATATTTGGTTGACTGTTGTTATTGTAGTATTGGAATGATAACGACTTCTTGTGTGAGTCATGCATCCTATGTGAATTGTTGTGTTACTTCAATGTGTCAATATGTGCCTTCATGGTTACTTGGTGAATTGATTTTCAAGATGAATTTATGGCGCAGAATCATTATCTCATACTCTGTTGAGTTGTTGGTAACATAAAGGTTTTAAATAAAAAATTATGAACGTGCTTACTTTAGGTGACTCTTAAGTTATAACTCATCATTTCACCCGATACTTTACTATTCTTAATGGTTATTATAGTTTACTTTAATTGATTTCTCAAATTAAACTCCTTACCCCATCTGATGTTTTACTTTACTTATAAATTGTTATTATATTTTATTTTAACTAATTCTATATTTAATTCGGTCACTTATCAGATGCTTTGTGTTATTTAAATATGTTATTTTCTTTACCCAATTGCTTTCTAAACTAAACTCATTTGATACCATATCTTGTATAAAATGTACTTTATTTCACTGTATTTGGTTTCTAAAATAAACTCATTTTCTCATTTGATTCCCTACTTTATTCAAGATTGTTATTATGCATTATTATATATAAATAAATCTCTCGAATATTTTATTTAGCATTTGACACGGATACAATATACATGGTAGCACGTGGACTTTGCCGTACGAAAGTGAATTGAAAAAATATGGCCACGAGGTGTCATGCGTGTAAGATTCGAAATTGTGGCTTATGATTCGTGGTTACGAGATGTGGTGCCTCGGAGTAATTCTTGTTGTGCACCATGTGTTTGAGGGACTTGATTACTTGAAAGGGGGCATTTGTTTCCCCAAATTGATCTCATTCACATTTTTAGTGTGTTCTGATTACTTTGCTGCTTTATTATCCATTTACTTTTGGTGTCAATTGTGCTTCTATTAATCCCTTGTTGGTTTTCTATTGACAATCTTTACGCTATTAGCCATATATTGATATGTTTTCCATTGCTAGTTTATGTTAATATCTTGCATAAATTTTATGTCTAGTGAGTGTCTCGACTTACCTCGTCATTACTCCACCGAGGTTAGTCTTAATACTTACTGGGTACCGTTATGGTGTACTCATGCTACGCTTCTGCACATTTTTGTACAGATCTAGGTACTTCTGATCGAGTTGGTTTTGAGACTTATGTCTGCGCGGCTGGAGATTTCAAGGTATACCTGCTTGATATTCACAGGCCCCGGAGTCACCTTCTGTTGTCTTTCATTTCCATTGTTTACCATTATTTTGAGATAGCGATGTACTTGATATTCCTAGTTTCTCTTAGAAAAGCTTATGGCTTGTACTACCGGTTTTGGGATTGTATGATTGATGTCGGTTCAGCTATGTTATTTCAGTTATTAATTAATATTTTACAGTTAAGTTGGTTTAATTCTAAAGTTCTTAGCATGTGTTAGGCTTACCTAGTCTTAGAGATAAGGTGCCAACACGACATTCTAATGTAGGAATTTGGGGTCGTGACATAATAAAAGATTGGAGGAAATTTGACTAAATCGTGACAGACCCACGAGTACCAC